TGGTCATATCTCTTTTTTTTTTTTTTTTTAAGATTGAATTTTCATATCACTTGTTTGAATAAGTAAAGTGAGGAGAAGTGGGGTGAAATGGAGAGAAACCTATTTCTCTCATCACCCTCATTCTGAATCTCCAAACCAAAATAGAGAGTTTGGGAGAGAAAAAAACCAACTAATCACTATTTTTTTTATAACACTAAAATTTCCCTTTAGATATAGAAGAAATAAAAAAACTCACACGTATAAAAAATTGTTTTAATAATATAATATGAAAAAATTTCTTCTTCTTTTTTTTAATTTTATTTTATATAGTTTAACCAATAAAATATGAGAGAAATTATTATTTTATATTTATATTTTTTCTATTTATTGTCTAAATAAGAGGAAGAGAAACACAATTCTTTTAATTCTTTTATTTTCTCTCCTAACTTTTATTTTATATAATTTTTTTTTTCTCTCTCCTAGGTTCCCAAACAGAGTGAGGGGAAAGGCAAGAATAGAAGACATTTGGTGGGTGATAGATATGGTGATGGTGAGACATACATACCTGTAACCATGCAATAGGCCTTTGGTAATGGTGGTGACGGTAACGTGACCAACATAGGTCATGCTAGCCAGGGCCTCACCTCTGAAACCCATCGACTTAATCGATTGCAAATCTTCAAACTTACACAACTTGGATGTCGTGTGCCTCTCGCATAGTATTGGCAAGTCCTCATACTACAAAATATATACATATCACAAACAACAACAACAACAACAACAATGGCAATATCAAAAAATTCAACAGAAATAAATACCAAATAGAGTAGAGTAGAGTAGAGAAATTGAATTTGAATTGAGACGTAAATAAGGGAGGGAGGTAGGTATACTCGGATGCCGTGGCCGTCGTCGGAGACTTGAATGAGTTTAAGACCGCCGTCCTTGACGACGACGTTGATGGAGGTGGAGTCGGCGTCGAGGCTGTTCTCGATGAGTTCTTTGACAGCGGAGACAGGCCGCTGGATCACTTCACCGGCGGCGATTCGGTTCACCACCGACTCATCGAGGCGGTGTATCATGGGAGGCTCTTTTACTACTGCTGGTAATGGAGATGGTTCTTCTAGTTGGACTTCTTGTATTTCATCGATTTCCATGGTTTGATTGAGAATCGAATGATGAATGAGATGAGAGAGAGAGAGAGAGAGAGAGAGAGAGCGCGAGCTTCTTCACTTGGCTTGCTATCAAGTGAATTGGAATTTTTGTTAGACTCTCCTTACTTTACTTTTGACTTTTTTGTTTTTTTGTTTTTTTAAAGCCAAATAAGATAAAATAAACTCATTTTGTTTTTTTTCCACGTTTAAAAATTAAAATAAAGTCAAAAATGAAAAAGTTAAAAAAATATATTTTATTTTAATTAAAAGACTTACCAAAAATTCAAAAGAATAAATTATGCTAACTTATATTGAGTTATTTTTAAATTTTTAAATTACATAATATTTAATCTCATTTTTATTAACAATTTATTACTTATATTCATAATAAAATTAATATTATCTTCTCTTTTACATTTAATGTATTTTTTACTATTATTTCGATGGCCTTAATATTACTAAAAATGAATTCAATTTAATTATACTAAACTTATAATGCTTATTGTATTATTTATTAGAAAACTTTAAAGGCCCCCAGTTATATCAAATTTACAAAACTATTGAACAGCATGACTTATAAAATTTTAACTTAATTTGAAAACTAGCTATTTTAGGGTTGTTTGGCAACTTAGTTAAAAGTTAACTTTTAACTTTTAACTTATTTTGGATCACATCACTTCTCACATTTTTTTACTTATAAAGTAACAAAGTAGTCACACAAAAAAAACTAAAAAGTTAACTTTTAATCAATTTCCCAAAACACCCCTTAATTACAATTGACTTTTTTTTAAAAAAACTTTTGGTTAGATTGTCAAATTTTCCTAAACTCTTTGAAAAGAGTAATATTATAGACATCAAAAATCTATTAAAAATTTTATTAAATGTCTTATATGGGTGTGAGACTACACAATATGAGTCATAAGTGAATCTTACACTTATATAAAATATTTGATAAAATTTTTAATAATTTTTTTGAGATTTCTATCATTTTTCTTTGAAAATAACCACACAAAAAAAGAAAGGGAAAACTCTTTGCTTAGTTTGCGTTAATTAAGTTATCTCTCCGAACTAGAACATATATATACTTGCCATGTTTGTAAAAATAAATAAATAAATAAATAAGTGTATGACTAAAACCTGTGTGTTAGTGTTGGTGCTAGAAGTTGGATTCCTCTGTCAGTAGGGTGCAAACAAGACATAAGGGATGACACGGTATAGGTGAAGTGGAAAGAACATCAAGTATTGGTCAAGATGGCACGAACAAATGCTGGGATAAGAGATAAAAGAAGAAGCAGATCAAAGAGAAATTTGAAATTCAAATACAACTCCTGGAATGAAGGGATAAGCATGCAGAGAATTCGAGAATCTAGGAAGATCAAGATCAAGAGCCTGATCAAGAAACAAATATAAAAGAAGGCTAAAGGCAGAAGAAAAAAGATATCAACAACCACCAATCACACTTGCAAACGAGTTTATCTAAAAATTATTTAACTTAACATTTTTGGAATAATTTAAACCAATAGCTTTTTTTCAACCCCCACTTCTTTTCCTTCTGTCTCTTGTTGTATTTCTTCAATTTTTTATCTTGTTTTAAGTTTTTGAAACTAGTGACAAGTGACAATTTATTTGAATTAATACATATTCTTTTTATCTCTTTTTTGCCTAATTACCTTTAAAAAAGCCCTTAATCTGTTTAAGGCATAGAGCTCAACCACAAAGCTTAATTTTTATTTGTGTTTACTTAAAGATTGATTTAAGTCTATTGATCAAATCATTGTCGATTAGGTTTGAACTAGATTTTTACCAACGGTTAATCGTCCATGCCGCCGTTTTGCTGTAACCTTGTTTTTCCTTGCTCCAACATTATTGTCAGTTCTCCCAAACCCTAACTGAAGGGAGTTGGCACACTGCAACATTACTCAATAGAAGAAGCCAATGAAAATCCATATACTTGTCACCAAAGTAAATCAAGAAGTTAAATAAGAACAAAAATAAAGCTCTCCATACTTGTAAAGTCACCAAAACTCAAATCTGCATATCATACCTTACATTTAGCCCAACGCTTCAATAAAAGCTGTAATTCCTTTTTTCTTGTTTTCATCTACGAAACCCCAATTGATATTAAGTTACATAGTGAAAGGAAATAAGGGTTTCATATGAAATTTCCACTACATTGGGTTAAATGATTAACAATCCAGAACAATCTTGGCAATACATGGACAAAAGCTGAAACAGAAAAACGGTAACACCCAATCTAATTGTATGAAGAATTCTGATTTGGGACCAAAAACTTGAAGGTACTTCAAATTCTAATCTCAGTCCTGTCCATCCTGAAAACAACAAAAAAAAAAAAGCCATCATTCTTCCTTCAATGTATTTGTGCTTCATAAAAACCATACAACTGTGAACAATTTTTTTTCAAAAATAAATAATAAAAACAAAAGTATCCACACATCACAACCGCCATGCAGGCATCACAACTGCATTGAACTATTGTATCTTACCATTTTTTGACATCGGTAAACACCAATGGAAAATGACAAGATAAATAACTTAATGGCGCAACCCTTGACTGGCTAGAAGCCCATTACTATCAGATTTAGAACGGCAAAGCCTGTGGGTTCAAAGAATTTTCGGTCCAATAAATGTAATTAATAGTTTTTATTATTACTATTATTTAGTTAGTAGTTACTAATTATTAATTTAGTTTTTTTTATTATGTTTCCAAATATCATTAAGATCCGTTTCCTGATTCGTTTAGGGTTTTGGCCTATAAATGTTAGGCTTTTAGCATTATAATATTCAGTTTTCGGATTAATAATATTGAGTGCGTTTCAATTGAATGTAGAAAGAAAGGCTGCTCCTCAATTTGGCATGGCTATAGGAGTATAATTGGATGAAGTGTTAATCTTAATTAAACATTAAATAGATCATATAAAGTAAGTGAAGAACATGAGAACTACCTGAGAAGCAGGATCTGAAATCTTAGAGGTGGTCAACTTCTCATCAAACTTGTAAGAACACTCTGTGTATGCAGATCCAATACCCACTCCAGCACCCAAAGCCATTAATGCCCAGCGCGTCACAGGACTCCCTAACACGACAAACCAGAGTAAATCCATTAAGGCATCAATTTCATGCACACAATTTTTTTCCTCACAAATACAGCTGGCAAGAGAAGACCAAACAAATTAACCTAGAAATACAATACTATTATAACATATTTTTGTTTCTTTCTTTCCTTTCTATTCGTTAAGAACTTAAGATAAACTTTATTTCCCAACATGGGTCCAGCCAAATATGAGGTTGGTTGACATGATCATCTACATGGTAAATTTTGATATCATTAATGACACAACACCAAATGAAGACCTTGATTGATTTTCTAGTTTAGTCCAGATGTTGGTCAAAGAAAGGCAAAACTTTAGCATCTATGGAAGTGTGAAAAATAATATAACTTGAACAAGAAGCCTGATTGAGGGTCTCTCAATGCAAAACAGGGTCCACTGACACTGCAGAACACCAAATACAACAAAACTAAAAACACCTTATATTTCTTTAGACCCTCCTTTTACAATGCAAGATTTTATAATCAGAAAATAATACACACAATTGAAAAGACCAAGGAACAGCGCACATGAAGAAACCAATGAGCCTAGGAATTTCATAATATTGATGGAAATTACATAATAATTCAAATCAAGCATGGTCTTTTGTTATTTTTTCTTTTTTGGTGTGTGTGTGTGTTGGTGGTTAATTACCATATTCATTTCCTTCCATTGCACCCATTTGTAAAATTAGCCCAAAATGTAATGCTAAAAAAAAAATGAAGTTTGAATCACCCATTAAAGAGTAATAAAAATAATAATGATACTAATAGACCAGTTTGAAAAACCAATTAGCTGTAAAAATGAGAAACAGGAAAAGTAATTGCAAATCAATGGAGTGCAGGTGAGACATGTGTCCTTAGCAAATGAGAAATGTGCAAAAATGGCACAATTCTCACTTGCACCCACTCAATCTATAATTTAAAACTGTACTCAATCTATATTAAGTACAATTTTATCAATCATCAACCATCCTTAATATTAGAAATTGTGGGTGTGCTACTAGCACAAGAAGAAAAAGACAAGTTTTCCTATAACCACTACAAGTAAAAAAAGCAAACATTAGCAATCAACAACCAAACTCTGGTTTAAAATGGTAATTCAATATCCAACAATCAAACACTAATTCAAAAATTAAGAGAGAGAATGCTCTACTTATTTGTATTGTTTAAGGAGTAAGCAATGATTAACAAAAACATCATGTTTACATAGTGGTGGTGATTATGACTTTATGAGACCCTTCTTAGAGCTCATAGCAAGATAACTGTGTCTTGGCCATGTCCGGCACAGTATGAGATTAACAACATTGCCTGTAACACAGAATTCAAAATTTCAAAATTTGGCTCAAGCCAAACACACAACTTCTACTATGCTCCCTCCACACCCTAGTATAGAAAATGGCCATATAGCAACTCCAATGGTAAAAGCTAAAATGGCTTTGCTCAAGCTATTTTTTTGCTTGCTACAGTGCAAAAAAAGCTATTTTTTGGCTATACTATACCACTCCAATGGTTCATATGCTATTTTGAAGCAATCAATTCCCATATCAATTTTCGGCAATTAGGTCCACTCATAAAATCTCTTGTGCCCATTATTTAGTTTTGTTGACGTAGAAAAAAGGGCTTTGCCATTTTTTGGCAAGAAATTTGGTTCACCATCGGAGAACAATTTTTGAGATATCTAGGGAAAAAAATGGCTTTGGCAGGTCTTATAGCTTTGCCATTGGAGTTGCTCAACGTTTACATTTACGAAGAAACACTCAAATTAGAAAAATTCCAATTATCTGGATTCTTATAAGTAGGTATTGTACTTCTGCAGAGACTCGTTTTCTCAAAAAATCATACACAAATGTAAATCATGCGTAGATACACATTCCAATATGAATCATATCCCTGAAAATTGAAGAACAAAGAAACCCTATAAATAATCATTGAATGATACCCGTTTGGAATCAATGGCTATCCATATTTCTCGAAACTTAAACTACACAGACAGGAAGGTGTATTCAAAACTTTCTATTACCCATTTCTTTTTCTGCAGTTTTCTCGGGAAACAGACAGAAAAGGGGGGGGGGGGGACAGAAAAAAAGGGGGGGGGAACTTACTGAAGAGAAGGAAACCACCGACGGCACCGGCCAGGGTGGAGTAAACGAATCGGCGGATACCCAAATCGAGACAGGCGTCCCACTTTGCATTCGGATCGAACTGCGGAGTAGGGATTTGCTTGTTTTCACCCATTTTTTTCTTCAGATTTTTTTAGCTCTCTTTAATTTTTTTTCTTATCTTTCTTGGAATATCTCGTTTGGTTTTCTTGCTTGTGGGCTTTGCATTGTAAAAGTGAACCTTTGGTGAGTGAGGCGTTCAAATTAGGGTGTTCAATAAAATGTGGTGGTTCAGTGCAGGGCGCAGTTCTCACCACAGAGGTGACCAGGTTCGAATCCTGAGTGCGAAAAATAACTGAATTTCAGCTTCTTTTATTTTATTTTATTTTATTTTTGTTGAGATCTCACATTGTATTTTGATCGATTATGCCCTCTTCTTTGAGGCATGACTCAGCTCCATTAATATCTCGATGGTCGATCATTTTTTATAGATTAGATTAAATCTGGCAAGCAATTATTTATTCCGAGTCAGGACTGACAGATATAATGATGACATAAAATATCTTTTTTGTTGTTCAAAATAACAATAATAATAACAAAACTGATACAAACCTCCACTTGGAGTGACCCCCACAAACACGTGGGGGTCAACGAGAGGAGGACAAAAAAAAAATTTGAACCAATCAGCATTCACTGAGAGTGGTGAGGGTCTCACTCATTTTTGTAATAATAAAATAACATAAAATGGGGTCAAATCGAAATCAATTCAAATCATATAATTCTGGCTATGTTTGGCAAATTGGTACGTGCGTTAGAGGTTATTTTAATCATAAAAGATAAAAGTTAATAAAATAAATTGTCATATTTAAATTATAATCTTTTTTTTTTTCTCACAAAAATTAAAAAACCTATTTCAAACGAGATTTTTTAACCTAGGCTAAAATAATAAAAAAAAAAAACTAATGAAGGCTATGTTTAATTGTTTTAAAAGACGGTTTGATAGTTTTTAAAATTTTTAATTAGTATTTTTTTTTATTAATTTTTTTTAATATTTTCATTTGTCTTTTTTAATATTTTAATATACTTAAAAAGTGTTTAAAAAAATTTATATAAATTCTTCGGATGGTAAATTATCAATATTGTTTTTGTTTTTTTATGAAAGATGACCCACACTAATTTTCAATTCTATATAAATAAATAAAAAATACATGGCCTGCACGGTAGCAGTTTCCTTAAAACAGATTTCGTCGCCTCACGGGTCGAGTGCTTGAGGAAACCCGGCGTCTGTCTCCCAGGATACGACGGTCAAAACCAGCTATAGCAGAAGCACTTTTTGTCTAGCTTAGCGAACAAAAACAGAGGCAGCACTCTCTCACAATAGGAACTTTCTGGCAAACTAACTTATAAAATGGAAGCAAAAATTTCTATATTAAAACTTGATAGGAGGGTCTCAATTTATACATGTATAGAGGAGAGAGGAAGAGCCTCCAGCCTTTAAGGTTGGTCATTAAAATACCAAGCATCCATAGCCTCTTTCCAAAATATGAAAAGTTTGGATACCCAAATGATTCACACCCTTTAGCCAAGAAAAATGATTTAAATACTCTTTAAAATCCTATTTATGAATCTAACATCATGAGACAATTTCTTGGCAATTTTTTATTCAAAACCCAATGATTTTTAGGAGGGTCTCAATTTATACATGTATAGGGGAGAGAGGAAGAGCCTCCAGCCTTTAAGGTTGGTCATTAAAATACCAAGCATCCATAGCCCCTTTCCAAAATATGAAAAGTTTGGATACCCAAAGGATTCACACCCTTTAGCCAAGAAAAATGATTTAAATACTCTTTAAAATCTTATTCATGAATCTAACATCATGATGCAATTTCTTGGCAATTTCTTATTCAAAACCCAATGGTTTTTGACCCACTTGGACCCAACACAATAAATGGTTGGGACCTACTTTAATATTAAATTAAAGTCACCACACTTTAATATTAAATTAAAGTCATCAAAAAACATTTTTTCTAACAATCCCCCACATGAATAAAAATTGACTGAAAGACTCAACAAACGGACATCGTTCAACAATAATGACTCGGAGAGAGAATACAACGAACTAACCCCGACATCAGAGAAGGTAGCTTTTGGCCTTGAACCTCTCCCAGTGAAAACCTATCGAGTTTACTGGCTGATCAGTGAATAAGACATCTTGAACTGCTCTGCCGTTTATGTAAACTGAGACAATAGATCTCACACGGGAATTACTCCTACCACCATTCTGTTCTCACTGGTGTGCCATGTGTGGCCCTGGACACTAGCCTGGTTCAGCGAGTGGTTTCAAAGAATCTTGGCCTGTCCAATTTTTCTAGAAGCGGCCCCACTTTCACACTCACATAAGTGACTCTACTTGAGTATCTTGCAATACTCAGCTCAACAGCTTAACACACAAGAGTCATTAAAAACTCAGCTTAACCTCTACACTTGCAGGTATCACTGATAGAAGGAATGGCTGGAGGTTTAACCTCCTCACTGACATACCACCGTTACACGCAATTAGGTTGTCCCATTGAACCTAGATATTGGGATCTCTAGTCAACTAGGTTGGGTTTCAATTCCGGTAACTTCCAAAGGCCTTAACCCTATTCCTTTTAACGACGTTTCGACTAACACTCGATTTAACCCTTTGGTTAGCGGATCCGCAATGTTGTCCTTAAACTTTACAAAATAGAAGGAATGGCTGGAGGTTTAACCTCCTCACTGACATACCACCGTTACACGCAATTAGGTTGTCCCATTGAACCTAGATATTGGGATCTCTAGTCAACTAGGTTGAGTTTCAATTCCGGTAACTTCCAAAGGCCTTAACCCTATTCCTTTTAACGACATTTCGACTAACACTCGATTTAACCCTTTGGTTAGCGGATCCGCAATGTTGTCCTTAAACTTTACAAAGTCTAAAGAGACAACTCCATTCGAGAGTAGTTGTCGTATGGAATTATGTCTACGACGGATATGTCTAGACTTTCCATTATACATATTACCAAGTGCCCTACCAATTGCAGATTGACTATCACAATGAATACAAATAGTTAGCACATGTTTAGACCAACGTGGAATATCTTCAATGAAATGGCGAAGCCATTCAGCTTTTTCCGTTGCTTTATCAAAAGCAATAGACTCTGATTCCATCGTTGATCTAGATATACACATTTGCTTGGAAGATTTCCAAGACACGGCTGCCCCACCAAGAGTGAACACATATCCACTAGTGGACTTTGAGTCCTTTATATCTGATATCCAATTCGCGTCACTACATCCTTCAAGCACCGCTGGATATCGAGTATAATGCAGCCCATAATCCCGAGTGTAACGTAAATACCTTACCACCCGCACAATACCCATATCCTTCATGTTAAACTTAGAGTTTAACAACTTCTTGGTAATTTTGATCATTTCATCATTACTACCTATAATGAGCATATCATCAATATATGGACACAAAATGACATAACCTTTGTCAGTGTCTTTGACATAAACACACTTGTCATATTCGTTGATTCTAATCCCACTTGACAACATTACGTTGTCAAACTTCTCATGCCATTGTTTAGGCGCTTGCTTCAAACCATACAATGATTTGACAAGTTTATAGACTTTCTTGCTTTGCCCTGGAGCTGAAAACCCTACAGGTTGCTCCATGTAGATTTCTTCATTCAAATCCCCATTTAAGAAAGCTGCCTTTACATCCATCTGGTGTATTTCCAGATTGCGCAAAGCTGCTAACGTAATCACCATGTGAATGGATGTTGTCCTAGTTACAGGTGAGTACGTATCAAAGTAATCCAGGCCTTCTCATTGCATGTATCCTTTGATAACGAGATTCGCCTTATACTTGTCAATCGACCCATCGGCCTTCATCTTTCTTTTAAAAATCCATTTGCAGCCTCAAGGCTTATAACCTGGAGGTAAATCTACTAACTCCCAGGTGTGGTTCTGTAAGATGGAGTCAATCTTACTTTTGATCGCTTCTTTCCATCCAGGACTCTCAGGAGAAGTCACAGCTTCATGGAAAATTTGAGGTTCGTTCTCAACCATATAAGTTAAGAAGTCTGGACCAAAAGATTTGGATATCCTAGCCCTTTTACTCCTTCTAGGCTGATCATCATCACTAGCAAGCTCACCAAATTGCTCTAAAAACCTCAGAATCCCTTCTTAGGTTCGGCAAGGAAAAATGTCTTCAAAGAAACATGCATTCCTTGACTCCATAATCGTATTCCTGTGTATGTCTGAAGTTTCAAACTTATGTACAAGACACCGATATGCACTACTATTAAGTGCATAACCAATGAATATACAATTCACGGATTTCGGGCCTATCCTAACCCGTTTGGGTGTAGGAATCGCCACTATAGCAAGACACCCCCACATTCGTAAGAATTTATGAGAAGGCTTAATGCCTTTCCATAACTCATACGGGATCTTGTCCACTTTGCTTCAACACAAGTTTCACACTTGTGTTTCGTCAGAACGACCTTGTTGGACTAAAAAAATCATGCGAAAAACATGTTTACTGAGAAAAGACCTTGAGACAAGATTCTTACAAATGTCCAAATGTCACGACCCAAACCCGGCCCTATGGGTTTAGCACCGTAACCGGCCAGTAATCCGAGATTACCGAAGGCCTGCAGAACGGTAGTACAGTAAAACAGAGTACAGGGCCTGGCGGAAGCCAATACAGTAAATAAATAGTGTCCATTGAGCTGTGACAGTCTGTATGCAAAAAGACTTTTCATACATACACACATAATCAGTGAATGATCGAGTATTTGAGGTTTTAAGCAAGAACTAGAGAGAGAAAGTGAAGAAACTAGGGTTTGAAAGGTTTTAGAGAGAAAGAGGGAATAAAAAAGTAATTGACCCTTTTCCTGAACTGATATAGTGCAGATCGCTCGAGCGACCAAACTACTACTCAAATGTTAGACACAATATGTGACATTGCTCAAGCAACCAAGAACACCGCTCGAGCACACAACGACCCCTTCTTAGAAGTTTTGCAGATTGTAGAAGACCACTCGAGCGCAAGAAAGACCGCTCGAGCGAATGACGCCCTACTTCTAGAAGTTCTGCAGACCCACAAAAGTATTATATTAGGAGATCTCAAAGACCGCTCGAGCGACCAAAACACCGCTAGAGCAAACAAGCAGAAAACAGAACAACAACTCTTTTCAAAAATCAACTCCCAACTTGTTCAAACACAACCAACAACCCAACTCAACTAACAACAATATGATAAAGGACATAAACAACAGTTAAAAATATGAAATCCTAGATCTAAGAATATG